TTCACTGGCGATCTGTGTGAAAATTCTCCCTCCAGATTCTCCAGCCCAGAGGTGGAGAATCAGGGGAGCCACAAACAAAGCAGCGGTAATTTACCGCTGCTTAGTAAACTGTAATTTCTGGATTACAGTAGCAGCAGCCGTTTTCTAAAGTTCAAAAGCGTTTGTAGATCGCTGCTCTCCTCATTAGGAGAAGCGATCTACACCACTTCATGAACAGGCATTCAGAGGTGAACTGTCTCCTCTGAGAATGCCAGAGAACTGAGCAGTGGTTATTTACTGCTGCATGATAAAAAGACACCATAACCACATGTACTGTTTATGAAACAATGGGGAAAAAAAGTTCACAGAGGTGTCCAAACTGTAGTGTAAACTTTACAAACATTCTCTCTCTTGTAACATAAGCAAAAAAAAAACAAAAAAAAAAAGGCCTCTGAAGGTATCAACAAAAACCCTTTAACATACGTAAATTGTGCTGTTCAAAATTTCTGTGGTGGCAATGAGAGCCTCACTTAATACACTGGAAAAAACACATCTGACAATGGACAAGTCAACAGAGCTCATCCACAGCTGTGGCTACATCAGTGGAATACTAATGACTTGCAATTTTATTTTATTATGATGCTGCAAGCCTTTCTTGCTCTACTATATATCTTCTATTTAGCTTTCCTTGTGGTAAAATTCCCTGATACTAAGTCTTCTAAGAAGAAAAAAAAGAGAAAAATTGCATAGCCATTTCATGCTATTTTTTTTTACCTAAAATAGCTGTCTGCAAAAGAAAAATAAATATAAAACATATGTCTTATGAGCTTTGAAAAAGTTAACTCTGTCTGACCTTGACAAAATATTTAATTGTATAGCGATTGTTTAAAAGTCTCCTTATCTTGCACTGAGCGCACTAGTATAGTAAAATTCTCTATTCTGCTGATCTGTGCAATTCCTCTGAATAGCCCCTAAATCGGAGTATGTCGGTACATACTGTATATCATGGAAATGAAAATGTATAAAAAGCACATGGGAGGAGGTTTACAAAACTGGAGAATCTGAAGCAGCAGTGCATGGTAGCCAAACAGCTTCTAACTTCAGCTTGTTCAATTAAGCTTTTGGCAATAAAACCTGGAAGCTGACTGGTTTCTATGCAGAGCTGCACCAGATTTTGCACACTCCCAATTTTAGTAAATCAACCCCACAATGCTCTCTACCTCAGACCTGTTTTCAGTTCAATACAGGCAGTCCCCGAGTTATAAACAAGATAGGTTCTGTAGGTTTGTTGTTAAGTTGAATTTGTATGCAAGTTGGAACAGGTATATTTTTTAAAGTGTTACTAAACCCACAGTAAAATCAGTCTGTGTATGCAGTAAAGCATGCTTGTTATACTCACTGTGGAACCTAAGGGGTTAATCCTCTGCATTGTGTAAAAAGGCTGTTAGATCCTTTCTTCTCTGCCCCTCCTCTTGTTCAAATGACCATCTGATACAGACTGAATCCGTAGTCACTCTGCACATGCTCAGTTCGGTGTGTATTGCTAGAGAGGGTTTTTTTTTTCTTGGGAGGGTGCATGTTATCAGCACAGGGTCAATCAGCACTGTCCAGACAGAGATCAGGGGTTTTACATCCTCCTAGAGCTGAAAGAAAACTCCTCCAACAAGTCTTAACCAGTGCTCTGCTGAAGTCACAAGCCTGCTCTAACTGCTGATGAGAAAAGGTATTTAGCAGTTTATATTTACAAAAATAATTGCATTTACATATTCTGTGTACTGTGGGGGACCCGATATAGTGAATGTGGGGTCCTGGGTTTAGTGTCACTTTAAGTGTAACTCCAGTCAAAAAAAAATATTATGTTTTGGATAGCATTGGGCCAGTTAACTGGACATGCAGTGAAGTGGGATTGCTGACAGGTCTGCTGGACAGTAGGTGGCAGCATGTGTTGAGCAGCAAGATGGTTGCCCGGTAGTTTCCGGGACCCACGTGATGTCACACTGCCTCTGTTCTTAAGTATGAGTCATATGCAAGTCAGATGTTTGTAACGCGGGGCTGCCTGCAACTTGCTTCACTGGATCACAACAAAATTTCAGTTTTGGCCTTGTATTTTTTTTTTCAGAAACCTGAATAAGATTGCCTTTGTGTCTTCTTACCTGGAATAAATTAGATCTGTAATCTAGGTGCTAAAGGAGACAATTAACCTCTCTAGTGGTAGGATTATGACAGTATTTCTGTGCTCAAAGTGGTACATTTTTTTGCATGGAAATATGTATTTTTTTTATTCTAGGCCTGTAATTTTTAGGAATAACTCACGGAAATCTGTCCAAACAAGAGTCATGAAACATAATAATACATTTAATTAAATAATGTAATCAAACCAAAAACACTGAAATTTGAAATAGAGCGCCAAATTCGCACATCACTGCGCTTAGTCGCAAAATCGTTTTCAGTGTCTGATGACAAATTTCCCCATGAATCATTATCAATCAATTCTGCAAGTGGTTCTGTTTTACTATCGCTGTTCTTTAGCTGGTCTAAAACCGCTTTTGACCTAAAGGGACGCTTTTTGGATGCCATGGTCTTTTCTCAGTTTCCAGACAGAAAGAACAGTAAAAATGCAGGCAGGGCACAGGACAAAGCAATAGGGACAAAATGTATGTGAAATGCTTTGATACAGTAATGTTTTACTATGTGATTTTAGTGTATTGAGTGAATGTCACTTTTAAAATTTTTGAATTTCTCGCCGGTTCCGTCCCCTGTAAGTCCTGTACGTCCTGATGCTCACAAGGACCGAAACCCGGAAGACGGATGCCGGCATCAGCCGGAGGAGATGGCCGGGGACGCTGCAGGGGGGACATCGCGGGAACGAAGGACAAGGTAAGTGCAAGAGGGATCCTGGGGCAACGCTGCAGGGTAATTCCGAGTGTAGCTCGGGGTTACCGCTTTTGGTACTGAAAATTTACCCCGAGCTACACTAAGGAATACCGCCAGGGAGGTTAAAGCATAGACATGCTGCTTATCCTTCACTGTCCAACCACAGGCTGAGGGAGGAGAGATGGTTAGGGAAGCAGAACTATACCAGACATTTTTGCCTACAGTCTCCCTTCAGACCTGGGAATTTACGGTATTTACGGTAGTGTGCACAGAAAGTCTGCAGCTATAATAGTATAGCAGGACAAATCTGGGGACATATGACCATGATTCTAAACAACAGAACATATTTATATTTCACTTTTTTGTATGTATAAAAGTACAGTACATCTCATTCTTGGCTGAACTGTGCTTCTTTGCTCTTCATAGTATTATCACACTAATAGTGTAGTATTAACCACTTTCGTCAATCCAGGTGGACGTCATATGATGACCTCCCAGATTGGGGCCGCTCTGCGGTGAGATCTGTCACCAGCTATGCCCATAGGACACAGCCGATGATCGAGCTGTGTACCTGCCCATTGCTGGTACCCTGTGACCACTGTGACAAATCACAGCAGGTCACATGACAATGGAAAACAATGGATGGCTTCCTTTCATGCCATCCATTGTATACAACTGTGTTGCTATCACATGGTACAGACTGGGCCAATCACAGCCCATCTGTGTCATATGATTAGCTGTAGCCAATCAGAGCTAATCACAACAAAACACACTGAATGAATCGTTTTTAAAAAAAACAAACACAAAAAACTGATCACTTCTCTGGAGTAGTGCAATGTTACTATGGTAACATTATATTACTCTGGTCACAGTGTTTTATAATAAAAAAAATCCGTAAAAAAAGGAAAAAAAATTAAAAAAATAAACAAAAAAAAATATATTTTTTTTCCATACTGTCACCATTCAGTGTCCCTGATCACAGCCACACCAGTTATGATATGATTATGCTGTACTGCATTGGTGGCAGTATGGTAAAAAAAAGAATTGTGAAAAATGTTGTTTTCACTATTTTACAAAAAATGATGACAAAAAAAATTACAACTTCAAAAAACTTGCCATACCTCAAACCATATACTGCAAACTGTCTACTTTCCAAAAAGGGGTAATTTTGGGGATGTCTGTACTATCCTGACAATTTTGGGCCTCAAAAAATGAATTAGGCCATCAGTACAGAAGAATTGATTGATTTTCAGATATACACCATAGTATGTGGACTCTAGAACTTTCCTACAGACTAATTAATAAATTATTTTTAATTTACTTTCTAATGTAGGTTATTTTCACCAAAGAAATGTAGTAGTATACATGTTGGCCTAAATTTATGAAGAACAATTGTTTATTTCCAAAATTTAATAACAGAAACAAATAAAACCTTTTTTTTTTCAGTCTTTCAGTTATTTATTTTGTTTATTTAACAAAAAATAAAAAACCCACTGGTGATTAATATACCACTAAAATAAAGCTCTAGTTGTGTGAACAAAATGATAAAAATTTTGTTTGGGTACAGTGTTGCATGACCATGCAGTTGTCATTCAAACTGTGAGAGCGCTGAAAGCTGAAATTTAGCTTCGGTGGGAAGGAGGTAAAAGTGCCCGGTATCAAAGTGGTTAAATAGTAATACATTTAGAAATATCAACCTAACATATCTCTCTTTCAAAATAAAGTAGCGAATAATTCAGAGCATAAAAACCAAGACTATCTCTAGTATCTGATGTCATAAACTCTCCAAGCTGATACATTTTTGCCACAGTTTTGTCCTCATCCCACCACCCCCTAAAGTACACGCAAATAACAAATATTTGCATATTCCTGACATCCCCAACTTCTCATGGGTCAATGCCCAGTCTTGCAGACAGCTCACTGCCAAGCCCCAGGTACAGCATTGTGGAACAGAACTCAAAGCATGTGTATAATTCTCTACAAGGATATGGAGACACATGAGGGGTGTTTAGTATGCAGTTAGTGGGGTAAACTGCTGCAGTAAAGGTGTGAACTGACAGCTTATGACATCAGCTACCAACTGCACTACTTAGTGAGGTCAATGCACAGTTATGCCTTAATGTGTTACTAAACCCACAACAGTAAAATCAGTCTTATATGCAGTCAAAAATGCTTGTTATACTCACTGTGGAACCTAGGGGGCTAATCTTGTGCATTGTGTAAAAAGGCTGTTTTACCTGTCTTCTCTGATCCTCCCCTTCTTCCAGTGTCACTCTCTTATATCCTGTTAAGACATATTGTGTGGATTCACTCTGTACATGCTCAGTTTGGTGTGTATTGCTAGAGAGGTTTTGAAAACTCCTCCTACAAGCTTTAACCAGTGCTTGGCTGGACACTGATAGAAGTCAAATGACTGCTCTAACTGCTGATGAGAAAAGGTATTTAGCTGTTTATATTTACTAAAATACTTGCATTTCCATATAGTGTGTACTGTGGGAGACCAGATAGAGTGAATGCAAGGTCATGGGTTTAGTAATACTTTAACTAATGATTAAAGTGGTTGGAAACCCTTATATATACCCAGCGAAGTTACTAGCCTCAGGTGATACACATAGATTAAAGAAATCTGCCTACTTACGTGGTACCTGCTTATCTGCTGCATTCTCCTCTCTACATTTGTTCCAAGTCCAGAATTCATACAGCTTGTCTGAGAGTTCAGAAAAAAAGGGATGGAGAGCTGAAATTACACACTGCAGAGCTCAGTGAGGAGAGCTCTGAGAGCTGATTGGAGGGAAGAGAAACACCCCCTCCACACAGCACACAGGAACAGAGCTGAGGCTGTAAAATGTGCTTAAGGTCCCTCCCCGTCACCATTTTTCTCTTGGTGTCAGGAAAACTTGTCAGAAGTGATTCATAATGATAACAGAGGAACAATGCAGCAGAGAGAAATTACACTTAGTGCTCTGGATTGAGACAAGTAGACACTATAGAGGGAGATGCTTTGTTCATATTTCATGTCTGAGGTTTACGACCACATTAAGGCATATTCTTCTACAATTTTCAAGCAATATTCTCCTTTTTTTCTGAGCTTGGATCTTACACTCATTTACACCACTAATACTACAACTATCCATAAATAATTTTCTTCTCTTTTTAGTCAAAGGTAAAATGAGCTTTTTTTTAACCATCCTAGAACCTGGAAATAAAGTCTTTGAAGCTCACTCAAACAAGAAAGGGGTTTATTCACAATTAAGGGGATTACAAGAAGCTGTAATTGCTGCATTCCTTGCTTCACCAGTTTGACAAGAAAATTTGCCCAAGACCAGATAAAGACAGTATTTTATCCTTCCAGGGCTGGGCCAGGTTACTAGTAATTTATGTCTAACCAGTCAGAGGTATTATTAGAACAAATGGTTCACAACATGGTTTTACAACATTTCAAGCACTAGCAGCTATTGATTTGATTCTCTTTCTGTTTTAATGTATGACCAGGATCAACAGCTTCTACTAGGAAGAAAAAAATGACAAAGTTCCTGAAATAATGATGTTAGTTGCCACAAAATGAAACCTGACCGGACTGGTATGTACTTTTTACACAAATTTATATGAAAGTAATTCAAAATGTAAGCAGTGATATGGACTGCAAACTCTGAAATACACATTAATAAAATTAATGTGACCATGCAAAGCTTGGGGAGCGGCTCTAGACATACAGTACATTCAAAAAGTCCAGTGATTCCAATCAGCAAGTGCAGGCAGAAAAAAGAGCTTGTCCCAGCTTTATGCAACTTCTAGAAAGAAAATATTCAACAGCCACAAACCATTAGAGCCCGAGTACAGGATAGCAGACACGGTTTCAGCCGGCTCCATCCAGGCCACACACCCAACATTGTTTGCCCTACCCATAGTGTTTAGTCATGGACCTCTATGACTAAGCCCTGTAGGCACAGAGAAACACATTGGAGGTGTTGCCTGGATGAAGCTGGGCTGAAACCATGTATACCATCTTATACTCAGGCTGTACTGGTAGTTAGATTATTTAATTTTTAATAAAATTACTACCATAATATTTTTTACTTTGCCAATATGAATTGGTTAGTTTTTATATGTTTGTTACATTGTCTAGCAGTTTTATCCAGATTGATCTATATTTTGGAGACATTCTTTGAAACTAATGCAAGTCAGCCTGGACTGACACATTCTTAGTGTGATGCGCAAAACTCACTTCTTTTATAATGTGTTGTGATTGGCTGTCTGTATTGAATGTCATGTTTAATTAACTGTTGGGCATCTGAAAAACTCTATTTTAAACTGTGAAGAATAAAATGAAAGAGTTAGTTCACCTTTAATGATGGTTGCTAAAAATCCCTATACATTACTGCTTCCTCAGTACATTAATATGTAGTCCTCTATTTTGTAAAAGAATCCTTACTTTTCAAGCTGCTTATTCCATTGCCCTTCCCTCTCTGTCCTGTAAATGGGAGGACATACTGAGTTTTGGATGTGTGGCCCTGGCAACTCACAAATGAGCTTCCAGTGCTTGGTATGTCCTTCCATTTGCAGGATGGGGAGAGGAGGGCAATAGAAAAACAGCTAGAAACGGAAACATTATTTTACAAAATGAGGACTGCATATTAATGTACTGATGAAGCTGTAATTTATAGGGATTTTCTTTTTACCAAATATAACTAAAGGTGAATTTAACCCTTTACATAGACTATTTAAAGTGATTGTAAAAGCAAATAATTAAAAAAAATATTTTTGCCATAAATGAATACATTTTAATGTAAACGTACATTCAGCTGTGAGTGTACCTCAGAAAAATGCTCCCTTAGCTTGTCTCAGCCCTCCAAAAACTGCTGGTCTGTGGGCGTGGCTTAGGACCAGAGAATAGTAGGTGGAGATGTGATGTCACACAATCCCTCAGTTATACACACCCTCCTAGCCATGGCTCAAGAACGTGCACAGCTATCCGACATGTCTGTGCCTGCAAGCGTGTCTCAAGAGTGCATTCAGGGGAATGCACAGGTGTCAGTGACTATGTCAGCTCTGCTTACAGCATAGGATTTGTGCTAATCAGGAGAAAGCTGGTAGGAAAGGGTTAATGTTAAAAATCCCAGGAGTTTTGCAGCCTAAAGTGGCAATGTGGACCAGGAAACATTCTCACGTAAAACTTTGTAAACAGCAATTCACAAGCTAGGTGCTGTGAACAGAGCAGGACAATAATCAGCTATCAGCAGACTTACCTAGATAACTAAAGCATTACTGAAGTGATGCCGATCTATATAATAAATTACTGCTGCTGAGTTCTTGATCTTGCGAAGGCAGAGAGCAGCAGGGAGAGGACACCCGCTTCCCCACCCCTTTGCAGGCTCATGCTGGTCTCGTCTTCAGCACAATTGGTCACTCACAGGAGAAGGGGAGTGGTGACACCATTTTGTGTCGGATTTATTCTGTTCAGAAGAGCAGGGATCATTTCTTGAGAAGGGGATTGCTTCAAGATACCAAACTAAGCTCAAATGCTTAGTAAAGGTAACATCTATTCAACTGTAGGATTAGACTGATTTGTGGTTTTTAGGTTTACAACCACTTTGGTTGTAATATATTCTGAGAGATGATCCACACCTCTTTCAAGAGATAACACCAAATTTTAAAAAAGCAACAGAAAGCCCCACAATGTGATCTATTAAAGCAGCACCAAACCTTCCTATAGTGTAGGCCTTGTTCACACCATACATGCAGAAAAACTGATGGAAACTGACGCGCGGATTTTGCTTGCAGAGAAATCAATTTACATCAGTCTTCATGTGCACTTCAATGAGTGTTTTACACATTGCAAATTCCTGTGCAGAAAAAAATCTGAAAATGATACTAGTGTTGTAGTGTGAACATGGCACATAGAAAACAATTTTTGTGCCCTGGCAGAACGGGTGCAGAGAAATGGATGTATCTGCACCATGTGTGAACATGCCCTTACAGCCAAAGAAGCTGCATCTCAGCCTCTGTTTGAGTCACAGTTGCCATGGTGCTGCACATGTGATCAGTTATGACACTAATCATTTGATGGATTGGCAGTTTAGTAGAGCACAAGCAAATGTGACAGTTATTATTCATCACATGGCTTGAATATAACTATTATATTGATGGGTTTAGTTCTGCTTTAAGTATGTTAACAATAGTCAAAGTACAGCATAGATTTTATTTTTATAAATTCTTGACATCTGTTGGGTGAATAGCCATTTTGCTGGCTGAGTTATTTCATCTATGCCACCAAGCACACTACAGTAATATAAATGTATTTCCTGCACTTATATGCCAATATATTACCAAGTGCTTTACAAACACAGATTCATTTGATTCAATTCCTGTTCCTTTTATCACAAATTATGGACAATTTCAGAGGTCAAACTTACCAGTATGATGACAGAGCACCTACAGGCAAACCTATACAAACAGTAGGAGAATATAAAGCAGTGGTCCTCAAACTACAGTCCGCAGGCTGGATATGGCCCGCCAAAGACATTTATCTGGCCTATCGGGAAAGTCAAAAAAAATTTTAATAATGGGAAAAAAAGAAAAAAACCTCCACCGGCCAGCAAATAGCTAGGCTGCTCGCTGGGTCCTTGGCCACGTCAGAAGAGCAACAGAACAGGAAAGGAGGAGAGCACATCAATGTGTTACAGAGTACAATGCATTGCTGTGTCCAGTGTATCAGAGTACAGTGCGTTACAGAGTACAGTGCATTGTGGCGTCCAGTGTATCAGAGTACAGTGTATTACAGAGTGCAGTGCCAAGTGCGTTACAGAGTACAGTGCATTGCAGTGTCCAGTGCGTTAGTGTACAGTGAATTGCAGTGTCCAGTGTGTTAGTGTACAGTGCATTGCTGTGGCCAGTGCATTACAGAGTACAGTGCATTGTGGTGTCCAGTGCGTTACAGTGTACAGTGCATTGTGGTGTCCAGTGCATTACAGTGTCCAATGCGTTGCAGAGTACAGTGCATTGTGATGTACAGTGAGTTAGTGTAGAGTGCATTGCGATGTCCAGTGCATTACAGAGTACAGTGCATTGCGGTGTCCAGTGCGTTACAGTGTACAGTGCATTGAGGTGTCCAGTGCGTTACAGTGTACAGTGCATTGAGGTGTCCAGTGCGTTACAGTGTACAGTGCATTTTATATATTGCATTGTTTTTTACTGTTTTTTGCACTACAAATAAGATATGTGCCCTGTGCATAGGAATCTGTTATATTTTTTTCAAACTATAGTTTGAGGACCCCAGATATAAAACTTACAACAAAACTCTATAAATGAGACTGACAGCAGCTTAGAGTTTAAAGTGTTACTAAACCCACAACAGTAAAATCAGTCTGTATATGCAGTAAAGCATGCTTGTTATACTCACTGTGGAACCTAAGGGGTTAATCCTCTGCATTTTGTAAAAAGGCTGTTTGATCCTTTCTTCTTTACCCCTCTTCTTGTTGAAATGTACACCTGATACAGACTGAATCCATAGTCAAATGCACATGCTCAGTTTTGTGTGTAGTGCTAAAGAGGTTTTTTTTTTTTTTCTTGAGAGGGTGCATGTGATCAGCACAGGGCCAATCAGCACTGTCCAGACAGAGGGTCAGGGCTTTCACATCCTACTAGAGCTGAAAGAAAACTCCTCCTGCAAGCTTTAACCAGTGCTCTGCTGAAGTCACAAGACTGCTCTAACTGCTCATGAGAAAAGGTATTTAGCAGTTTATATTTACTTAAATAATTGCATTTCCATGTTGTGTGTACTGTGAGAGACCAGATGTAGTGAATGCAGAGTCTTGGGTTCAAACACAAAGTTTATTACTCCTGCTGAAATTAATACAGTATTCCAGAAAAAGACAATGGGAATTCTGTGGAAATATAACAATAGTGGGGAAATTAAAAGGTTCATTGTGGCATCAAAGAAAATTAGGAGACCACACAAAGGATTTTTAGAATTTGCATTATTTTGCTCTGAACATGCCCATGAAACCACCCAAGCACAACAGTGGTCCAGGCAGCAGAACTAGGAAAAATCTTATAGTAGAACATAAAAACTCATTGTAAGGCAACATTTCCCAGAGATTTGTTCTGCTGCGCCCAGGCCAGAAAAAATGAGAGACGACTGTTCCCATAATAAGAATCAAATAGGCCACCAGAGAAAAAGAACATCCAGAAGTTTCTATGAAACGGTCAATGTGCCTACTGGTGCACGCAAGCTCCCTTATTTTCTTGTCCTGAGGTGACCTTACTGTGGAGTTTAATGTAGGGAAGCAGACATGTGCTGTTACACCAACACTTTTCAATAGCACTGTAATTAAGTACAGTAAAGCCACCCTTGTCTGGTTAGTTTGGAAAAGTAATCACTCAACTCAAAAGTTTCACTTGATTGACCAAAAATTAACATTGCAGTGATTGCAGTGATGGAATCTGATGTCCTAAAACTAACTTGCTAGCCAAAGATGTTACAATCATTAAACAATTCCTACAATGGAATCAGCTTTCAGAAGCTTCTTTTTGTATATTATGTTATTATATACACTGATTAAATAAATGTTCTACAGTATGTAACCATACAAAATAAAATGGTTGCAAATGTTGTTACCTTTCATAAATATGATGTTCATAACTCCTAAAATGGTTGTAAAAAAGTATTTAGTAGAGGCAAACCAAGCTTCCCTTTTGGTGGTATCCTTTAAACACAGTTTGAATAACTATACATTTTAAGTTAAAAATAAATAGAATTAAAATCAGTTTTGTAAAAGTACAAACATTATACTGACACTAAGGATCCATTCACACACTTAAGCATTGGAACACATCAATACTTGTGCACAGCTTTGCTTTGATTGCAAATCAACATCACATATACACAATGTCCAGTAATCCAGAGTATCTAGATCAAACAAACCATGCATCCAACATGTTAAATATAATAATGGAAAAACCAGCTAACATCTCATCTAAGCATAGTCCAAAGCAATCCTTAAAATGAAACAAAAAAAAACTAGATAAACACCATTTTTTCAGCATTCTAACATAAGGTCAAAAACATGCAGTCAAAGACAATAGTGGAGGGAAATATATGCAAAGAAAATATGTGGGAATATTACTAAATATAGAGTTTTAGGCCATGGATTGCATGTAAATATATCTAACGGAATAGGTACATTTCAATAAGAGAACATCTTTAGTAGGAGTACCTCCCACAATTAAATATTGGTTTTGTGTCATAAATGGTGTGATGAATCTTCTCCATGATATTAACAGACTCCATTCTAAGGCCTGTAAACCAGGGAGTATACAGAGTACGCCAATTAAGGACTAAAACTCACTGAACAGCACGGTATAAAACGGAGTATGAGTCATTCACAGGGTGGGAGGAAATACAAAATTGGATCAAACAATAGGCACATTGGTGAGATCAGAGAGATTTTAATCCTGAAATAAATTTTCGTACCAACCTGTTACCACAGTAAGCACAATTTTTTGCAACTCCAAAAAATATGGGAAAAGGGTGACCTGTTCCTGGCAACAGTGAAAACAGATTGTGGGGACAGTAGGGTATATTGAATGAAATTTTGGAGGGTGTTGTGGTATGCAATTTAATGTTGGCTTCCCTAATTGTGATGGAATGGGTGTATTAATAGAGATTAGATAGCATGTCCAGCCAGTCTTAAGTTCTATAGTAGTGGCTAATCAGTCTGTACATAAATTTGTCAAGAAAATGTCAAGAAATGTCAGATGCCTGTTGTAAATAAGCAAAAGAACAACATTTAGAGTTAATGGCAAGTGAACCCAGCAAAACAAGATTGCAAGCTATCCATCGGAAGAAATACCTTCTATTAGAGAAGACTGCAGGAAATCTAGGGTCTCCTAAAAAGGAAGCCAACAGGGAAGCCTTACAGCATACTTTGATTTGCCACTGTTTTTAATGGTGCAAGTTCATCTATGTTTTGTGTTGATGTGTGTTGATGTGTGCCGGTCTCTTTTTTTTTAATCAAAGTGCCAAAATATTTTCAGTTATACCCCTCCATTTTTTTTTCTTTAGCACTCCATGCCCCTCGAGCTGGAGCCCCTTTCCATATTCTTTCCATCCCCCTGGTCTTACTAACTAGACTTATGCCTCGGTTATTCTTCCCTGCTAATTTTAATATATGAGATGTTTTACTGGACCGAATCACAAACCTACTAAACGACATATCAGACTGGATGTCGCTCCACTTCCTTAAACTGAACCTCTCCAAAACCGAGCTCCTAGTCTTCCCCCCAGCTCGCACACCACCCCCCACTGACTTCTCCATCACGTCCAACAATGCCACTATCAGGCCCGCCCTGCAGGCCAGAGTACTTGGTGTCATTCTGGACTCCAACCTATCCTTCCAGCCCCAAGTCCAATCACTAACAAACTCATGCAGACTCCACCTCCGCAACATCGCCAAAATACGCACGTTCCTAACCCCAGAAACCACTAAACAGCTCATCCACTCCCTCATCATATCACAACTCGATTACTGCAACTACCTCCTCACTGGCCTGCCCCGCCACAGGCTATCCCCGCTCCAGTCAATCCTGAACACGGCAGCCAGACTCATTCACCTCACCAACCGCTCCATTTCCGCCACCCCCCTCTGCCAATCCCTCCACTGGCTTCCGATTGCACAACGAATCAAATTCAAAATCCTAACACTGACATACAAAGCTGTCCATCATACTGCCCCAAACTACATCACCGACCTAATATCCAAGTACCACCCAACACACACACTCCGCTCCTCTCAAGACCTCCTTCTCTCTAGTTCCCTGGTCTCCTCCTCCCATGCCCGCCTCCAAGATTTTTCCAGGACATCACCTACCTCTGGAACTCCCTACCCCAATCCATCAGACTATCACCTACTCTCCTCTCATTTAGGCGCACCCTGAAAACCCACCTCTTCAGGAAAGCCTACCCCACCCCCTGCTAATTGCCGACCTCCTCCACTCTTCCGGCCACTCCATTCCCCACAGCTATCTCCTCCTGCACCACTATCCCCTCCCTCCTAGATTGTAAGCTCGAAAGAGCAGGGCCCTCGAACCCCTCGTGTATCACATTGTATTGTTTCCGTACTGTCGCATGTTCTGTCTCCCTTTGTAATGTACAGCGCTGAGCGAACCGCTGGCGCTTTATAAATACTGTATAATAATAATAATTTTAACCTGTGTGTATCACCTTTGTGCGTTATAGACTTGTAAGGGAATGCAAAACTCACTCGAAATGAACAAAAGCCATAATGAGCTTTTCCCATAAAGAGCTTTTCCCAGGACTCAAAAAGTGCCTCAGTATACCCCCCCCCCCCCCAATAGATGTCAATATTCATAGAAAGCAGAAAATGAAATCGCAATGCCATAATCCAAACCTACATGTTACTGTCCTAAATTATATAAGCCTTGCCATCCACATAACACATATGCATGGCAGCTTTAATATCTGCATGCCACATATGTCACATATATGTATTGATGGTTGCAAAGGTTTATGTGCTCAGAGTGTGATACCAGGACAGAGGGCGAGAGGGCAAAGACAGCTTCAGGTCTCTAGTAATGATTGGAAGCTGGCGAATCAGCTCCTGATCATATGGCCACTGACAACCAATCACAGTGATTCAGTGTCAGGCAGACCTTCCAATTCCCAGGGTGCAATATCCAAGTTAAAAGGATTCTGGGGCTGGGTAGAAAGGGACAGCTATTATTTATTATTATTATAGTCTAAGTATGAAGCTTAATTGTTCAGCCACAAAAAAGCAGCAATAACTCCTAGAACATATGAGACTTATCTACCTTAGACTTCAACACATCAAAAATCTTTGCAGCTTTTGATCTTGTTTGGGTAATGAGAGAAAAAAAATGCACCTAACAATGTATTCATTTAAAGAAAATACAGAAGAACTGGTGGAAGAATAATCCAGATAAATGAATAGCCTCATGCTCAGAAATCATTAAATCACCTTTGATGCAATTCCCTGGTCCTTTATTTATTTATTCAATTTTATTGTTGTGCAGCTTGAATATATACTGTAATCTTTGCTTAAACTATTAATTAAAAAGATATAGTCAACTTGTAAACCTTTCAAAAGGTTAAACAGCTAAGAAGAGATGTCCTTCATGTAACCTTTAATTTGGCTAAGCAGCCAAATTAAAGAATGTTGCTGATAAATGAAACAGTTTGCCTCTAGTCCATTCTATCATTCCCCCATATAAAGGATGTAAAGAGGAAATCCACTTACCATTAACACACTCAAAGACATCACAGCACTTTCCAGGTGTCCCATTGCCTCTTGAGACAATCCGAGGGATTGACCCGGCCTCACACACACTGGGAAACTGCAAAGCCCGGAAAGACACTCACATCTGTAGATAAGCAAAATGTGGAGAATGTGTCAGCACTACCAATTGCTTTGTTCCTTGCAAAGATAATTAACCATCAATTAAATTCATTGGGGAACATAAGCATGCATTAAGTAATGACAGCAGATGTCAAAATAGTCTTTTGGAGATTTTACATTAGTCAGTGCACAGAATCAGTAGACTATGGTATGACAAAATCAATATAATGTATTCACTCTATCTTGAAAAGAAACTAATACATCAATGTGCCTTTAAAAAAACAGTGTAATTAAAAGCATTTAAGAGGGCATTTAAATAAATAAATAAGAATGAGTATAAA